AGGCGCTGTCAAGCATCTCAAAAGATGAATTTAGACAATGTTTTGAAAAATGGAATAAAAGACTAGACAAGTGTATTAGTGTAAGTGGAGAGTACTTCGAAGGGGATTGAAGGTTTGTGCTTAAAATTTGAAGAAATAAGTTTAAAAAAAATAAGTTCTCTTTCTTTTGGGTATCCTCTCGTATGTCACAAAACCGTGCTCCACATTCTGCACGATATTCTTGGATACTGCAAAACTGCAGCACGTTTGGTACTCCATACAATGTCCGAAGTGCAACAATGGCAATGTTAAGCAATTGCACGGGACTTGCTGGACCGGTACCAGAGGGAAGGTGACGACATCCTTGGAAGGATCGTCACTCTGGATGAAACTTGGGCTCACTCATACGAACCGCACTTGAAGCGACAATCAAATAAATGGAAGTATCCTGGATCGCCTCGTCCACATTACACAGAGTAATGTAAAGGTGATGTTCACTGTGGCATATGACATTGATGGAGTGATGCACCACACTGTACCTCAGTGACAGACAGTAAACGCTGCCTACTACTGCAATTTCCTACATAATCATCTTCGTCTAGCACTCAGGAGAAAGCGATGACACTTGTTGGCAACGAAACCCATCATCCTCCATGAAAATACAAGGGCTCATACTGATGATGCTGTCGATGGGAGATACTAGAACATCTGCCATACTCACCCAATATAAGTCCGTATGATTATTATCTTTTTGCCAAAAAGAAAGAACCACTGCGAGGGACACGTTACAACACAAGAGAGGAGATTATTCATGTTGTAGGGCGGTTACTGCTGGACATCAACAGAAGTGGACGCACTGATAGTGTACGACGCTTTCCACAAATTTGGCAGAAGGTGGTACACATGGGGGGCAATTATATTCAAGGAATGTAAGTGTGTTTACCTCAGGTAATATAGCCATTTCAAAACTATAAAGGTGTTGCTGCTACTTTTTATCCAACCTTTGTAAATGCAGAACTAAGGAATCTGATGACAATGGTCTATAGTACCTGTTCCTGTTTCCTTTGAAATATCTGTCTCTTGCACCATCCTGATTCCCAGAAATTTTACCATACCTCGGTGACAGGTTCTTCTTATTATTGTTGTTATTATTATTATTTTTATTATTCGACTGTTGGCTGTTTGATGGAAATGCAGCTTGGTGCCAAGCACTTAGCAAGCTTTGTTCCCTCAGGACGTTGTCATAGGCCTGAGAGAACAGAAGTTCACGACGCTGGGCATCTATATCGAGAGTCTCCATTTGATTCCTGCAAAACAATACCTGTCACAATTAACTGAAAAATTAGAAGATATGCCTCTACCAGTGTAAAAATAGTATATTCATAATCATCATAATTATATTGCATTAGTTGTTAGTATTTTCTAGGCGGTGCCATAGCTCAAGCGGCTAGTCACTGGCTTCCCACCGTGGTGGCTCGGGTTCGATCCTGGGTCTGGCCAAGTGGGATTTGTGGTGGACAAAGTGGTGCTGGGGCGGGCTTTCTCTGAGTACTTCAGTTTCCCCTGCCAATCTTCATTCCACCAAATTCTCCATCATCATAATCACCCAGGGCAGGCTACAATAGGCCAATCAGTGGCCGTCCTGCCAAGTGGACCCAGTTGGACTCCACCCTTCACTAAGGGAATTAATTAGTATTTTCTTATGCAGGGCGGAGACTCATATGCATGTCGATGTTACATTTTATAGTCCAAAGTAACTTGTAATCAACCTTTCATAATTCTGATACTATAACCACACAGTCTGGTGAAGAACTGGGGGTCTCTTTTTCTAGTGGTATAAAATTAATATATCAGAACAGCACCTTATATTCATACAGTACATATGACATGAAATTCTGGAAATAACTAGTTGCCTTTCCTTTGATATGGCATGGACTTCAGAGCAACTGATGTGTTCAACAATTCTTCTATTATTGCGCATGTTTTCCCTGCTGTGGTAACGTTTTTACTGAACTGTTACCTAGCAATGATACGGGAATACACATACAGACACACAGACTGATGGGATTTATGAAGTACACTCCTGCGATGGGAAAAGGTGCCATGATATACATCCAAGTTTAATAAAGACTGGTTCAGGCACTCAGAAGTTGATAGGGGGATACACACAAAGACAGCATGGTGATCTCATAAGCTTAGTTTTTTAATAAGAAAACTAGGCTAAAAAGTTAAATAAAACCGACAACCAAAAGGTAAGAAACAGACTTCAAATTAAGAAGTCGTGTACTCAAGATGCAGTTGCATTGGTGATATTCAGCTTTGCCTTTCTCTTTGTACATATGTTAGCAAGTCACCTCTCAATACCAGATCCTCCCTATATCAAATACAAGCATTCTGAAGAAAAAATGGAATCATAATGCAATTTTTTTACATCTTACTTCTTCAGAAATTCCTGCAAACAAAAAATATGTTGTAAATGCAATGTACCTGTTTGGGTGTAACTTATTCTCCAGTTGTAGAAGAAGGAGATCCCATGCAATACGATCTCCAAGCTCTGGAGATGGGCTGCTTCGACACCATTACATGCATTAAGCAAGAAGAGTAGGAAGAACCAAACAGAACATAAGCATGCTAGATGTTTAGGGCATGTAGTTCACACTTCAATCACCAAGCATTAAATCCACTGGCACATTTGTTATTTTACCCACAGTAGAAAATTCCATTTATTTTCGATACAAATAACAAACATGTTGCCTCAACTTGCAACTTGCATTTAGGAAGTGCTCAGTTTGAATCCTAGATGGGCACTAGATATCCTGAATCCTTTTTCTTTGCTTTCACAGTCTCTCTAGGCAAAATGCAGGAATTCTAATTTAAATTAGGTCACAAACACTTCTTTCTACATCCATTTCAATTACTTACTTACTATCATCCAGTCTATCAATGCTATAGAACATGAGTTACTGACAACACCAATAAATAAACTACAAATAATGGTTGAAATTTATGTTCAAATTTCTTTAATTATATAAATTTTGTTTATAATTGCTATAAATTTACTGCTAACAACTTTCAGGTAAGATAATGTACTAATTCTTTTATGTACCAGGCAGATTATGTACCATCAAATGGTGATGCCTAGTGAAAAATTCGTTGGCAAGGATGTGGAAAGAAAGTAACGGTGTAATTTCAAGAATTATTCTGGAATTTGTCTGAAGGGTCTGAGGACATAATAGAAAACTCAAGTCACAGTAGCTAGTACCTGGACCAGTACTTGGACGAGGACCTACCAAATACAAAACATGAATCCTACCCACTTAACTGCAATGTAAAGTAGTAGAATTAATTTTGAAATAATTATATTTTTGGATTTGTCATAGTACTCCTTAGATTACAGCACAGATTAACACAAAATGACATGGGCAATTATCCTTGTCTGGGTGGAATTAAAGATAATGAATTTTATAGGAACAGACTTGTGTATGAAGGCGAAGTTTATGTTACTTTTTATTACTAATTTGAGAAACAGTTATAACAAACAGGATAAGACTGGAGTTAATTAGGCAGTGGTTCTCACCCATTTCTGATTCAGAGATCAGCATTTTCCAGACTGTCTCAACCTGCTTGTTACTAGCACATACAAATTAGACAACGCTTTTAGCTGGTACTAAAATTAAGGCAATGCCATAGCTGCCTGTATTGAAAAGTAACAACTGAATATCTGCTGTTTGCTTTCTGTTTGCAGTGGCTGGCCCTAAAAATCTGTGCCCTCTTTCCACCATTAGGACTCTCACACCTTTAAACTCCATGAAATGAGGAGGAAAAATATAGTAATGTTTGACACAAACTTTTATTCACTAGAAGGAAAAACTAAAACGTAAGTGGTTATAAAGTATTAATTTTTTTCATTTCTCTCTCTCTCTCTCTCTCTCATGCACGCATGCATACCTATACAGTCATCAGACTACCAGCTGAGAAACACTTTAGTATGGGGCTGTTTACATTTCCTCATAAACATAACCTCAAAAGTTTACAACATTGATACTTAGTAATTTTCAACAGATATTCAGATCTGCATGCAATAAAACTTTAGTTATGGAAATGGTTACCATATTATTTTTACTAGTCAATTAAAATAACTGCAACAGCAGAAACTCTTGCACCATAAAAAACTACAGATTTCATATCGTGTGATGCTAATGTTCTTAAAATAGTCATGGTGTATTAAGGACCACAGAGTCTCTGGCAACTTAAAAGCGAACTTCTAAGAACTAGCATTGTATATAATTTTACATACCTGCTCATTTCTTCCTGGAGGGCCTCATAATATGACGCTGTCTGGTTAGGACTAGGGGCAGGCTGTTTTCCACCTCTGCCTATGAGACCTGGCACCACTTGAAAACCTTGAGGTCTCACATAGGCCCTGGGTGGGGCTCTAATTTCTGAGAGACGAACACCTGGCTTGTTATGACGCAAGTACTTATGTGCCTCTTGATTTGACATGTGCACCTGTAATACAAGACAGAAAAGACTTTATGAACTAGAAACATGTAATGCTGTAAAAGATATATAATCTCCTTTTAACAACAACTAACAACTCTGTTTCCATTTTTGTTCATTGTCTCTTTTCACTTTATAACACATACTTCATTATCAGAATGTTGCTTTATGCAATTATATTTAGACGTTCTGTCTGCTTCTGTCCATATAAATTTATTTGGTAACTTATTATTTGTAAGCAAAGTGATTCACAGTTCAGAAGCCAGAGTTCAGAGGTTGTAAGGGAGATAATTAGGAGCAGAAAATGTAAATAAATTGTTGTTTTGAGTCATCGCCCTTATCAATTTTAAAAAATGAACTAATTCCTCATTCATGTATGCATTCAGTTATTTACGTATAAGATCTTCATTTATTACTTTCAACAAGATTCTGAAATTATTAGCTCTTTTCGGTTTGAATTTTACATTATTGTTAATAAAAAGATATTATCAGTAGTGAGAAGTCACATGCAGATATGTGAATTTCTTCATAAGACACATGCATGCTTCATGGTAATATCGAATGGAGTCTTTAACAGGATCCAATTATCTTGGTTGGTCCTGAATGTCTGCTGCAGCTACCGGGATATGAATTATTAGGTTGTCATGATCTTGTAATTCTTTAGCATACACACTATCTTTGATGCATCCCCACAACAAAATATAAAGTTGATTCAGATCAGGAGAATGCGGGGACCACAGGATGACTGAATCCCCATGGTGGATCCACATTTCCAAAAAATGACTGTTCAACCAATTATGCACATGAAGTATACACAGTATAGTGGGGAAGCCACATGTGCTGAAACCACATATCCATGTGAACATTAAGGGGTACATCCTCTAATAAAAGAGGAAGTGTTCTTTCTAGGAAATTAGTGTACTGGATTTCACCATGATGATTCACTACCATGTACGGTCCAATCAGGCAGTTTCCTACAACTGAAGCCCAAGAATACTTATGTTCAGTGTTTGCTGGAATGAAAAACTTTGAGTATGATGAGAATTTCCCAATGCCCATTCAGTGTAGGTTGTGGAGTTAGTTGATGCCAGTTCTTGTGAATGCTGCATTATCAGTCCACAAATAGATGGCATGAAGTCAGGTTCATCTATAATTTTGCATAGAAGCCATTTGAAGGCAAAGATTTTTGTCCCTTGGCTGTAGCACATATACAAGATGTACCAGGGATGGACAAAAATATGG